GGGGGGGTTAGTTAAGAATGCCTTTCTGTCTTGATCAGAGGTATTTTTCTCTGAAACTTTTTGCTAAACTTGGCTCCTCTGGCTTGAAAAACACCGGATCTCTGGGAAATCTCAACACAGTGCATTTATTAATGGTCTCTAATGGTCTATCATCAAAACAGAACTCATAGTAATAATTAACTTGTTGGAAGTATAACGAATATAATTTATGAAATTTTACTTATTGAAAACCATTTTCCCAGTGGGGAAAAAACCAGCCATTAAGGTGCATGGGATTCCTGCCATTGATTGAAACAGGAAGATCCCATGGCTTAATGGGTGCTGTCAGCCCCAGACTGGGGCCCTCGGCCCCTCGATATGGGGCCTGCCTGGAGCAGGGAGCTGCGCAGGCCCCTCTGGTGGCCACTCCCTCGGCAAAGCCCTGGGCGCCCCACCCGCCAGCCCCTCGTGACCTGTGCACTCGCTCTTACGTTCCCTTTGTCGATCTCCATTCCTGGACTCCCCACAGCTTTGATTGAGCTGATCTGGAAACTTCCCCCGCTGTCCTTGAGTGGGCGCTAGGTTTTGCACCGAGTGTCAGTTTTCCTGTCTGGAACTTAAATTCTAAAACTAGGATTTTCAGGGAATTGGTCAGGGAATTGGGGCAGGTGCTTGGAAGACTTCTTGGGTCATATTACGTTAAAAGAATAATAATTAGGGGCAAATGCTAAATAAGTATATAACTATACTGTGAGGCGGCTCTCTTAGGAAAAGAGATGGATAGTAAGGGGCATAGCTCCTAAAAACGCAGACCTGGTTTGGGTTGCCACGATATATAGTTGCATGTTGTGTTGTCTAAGAGGGGCTTTTTCTTTCTTTCTTTCTTTTCTTTTTTTGTCCTTTTTCCTCCATCTATACAAGTGAATCCTGCAAGATGTGGTATTTAGAGCCAGTATAAATTGTTCAGGTTCTGTAGTGAGCTCTTTCTTGGTGGGAGGGTCTTTGGCAGCGGTGGTGGAGGGCTTGGAGGACGAATGTGCACAGGAAACTGCCTCCCATCTGCTGTGCCTGGGAAGCGTAGTTCCCACGTCATTATCCTGCCTTTTTAGAAGAGAGTGAAACAGATTCAGTTTAGCAGTGCATTGCTCTTTTTGGACTGTTCATATCCATAAGTTATATTAAAAGAAATACTGCCTGTGAAACTTGTTTCATGCCCGCTACATAAATGAAAAGGATTATTCTCAATTATGCCATTTTTTTGAAAAGGGTAAATAATACTGCAGGTAGACACAGTGGGTTGCATTTAATCTATCAGTGGCACTGTCTACCCTTCAGTTATTTTCTAGTTCGCCGCCAACCTTTGGTTTTCTTTCCAATGTCATCATTATATTTCTTCACTTCCTCTCTCTTCCTCTCTGTGGGAAAGTAGTCGCAAACGGCTTGTTTGCTCCAACTCTAGTACGAGTGGCTCCCAAGAATGAGGCAAGGAAGGGGTCAGCTGCCAGACGGGGCCCCTTCCCACAGTCACTGAGTAATGACTGTGAGAGCTGCTCTGGTCATGGAAGTGAAGGCTCTGCCCCGGGGACAGCCTCACCTCCTTGTCCCTCTCTAGGGGAGAGCACGAAGGAAGCCTCAGGATGAAGACAGAGCTACTGGTGCAGATGGATGGGCTGGCTCGCTCAGAAGATCTCGTGTTTGTCTTAGCAGCTTCTAACCTGCCCTGGTAAGAGATGTGGAGAATACATTTTGAATATGTTTTCACAGAATATACATGAAGATACTACAGTGAGCACTTGGGGCAAAGCCTCGTTGTTTAGTTCTAGCCCTGGAAGGTTAATCTGAAGGCTTCCCTGTTCAAGTCCTCAATCCTTGCTATCTGTACTGTGAAAGAATCTGCCTTAATAGAAGGTGTGTAGGCCACAGCTACCACTGACAATATTTAAAATGGACATTTTGAGTTTAAAGACAATTTATTTGCTATGTTTAAACAGGACTTTGGCAGAGAACTATAAAATGCTAAAATATCCAGGACTCAAGGAATATTCCAGAAATAGTATGTTTGGATTTTAACAGTATTCAATTTTTTTTAAGATAGGAGGAAAATATTTTCTTGAATGTTGCACAGTAAATAGGAAGGTAAATAATCTCTAATTGAAAATATAATCTATTTTCAGAGTCTTTTATTCAAACTGTATCCCAGAATGGTTTAAGAACAATTCTAGAAGTGGAACTGGGAAATAAGAGATGTTGACTAGGGAAAAGCAGTATCTACTTGGAGAGTATATTTAAAAAATAATTATAATCCCTTTATAGTTCCAAGAATATTTTCATGTACATTATTTCTTCTGAGATACAGGTGAGACAGGAGACAGATAAGGAAACACTACTTTTCCATTGGCAGAGAGGGACCAAGGTCAAGGAAGGTCAACCCACCCGACGTCAGCAGCAAATGTGCAATAGAGCTCCAACTTGTGACACCCTTACCTGAACACTCCCATCCATTTCTGTTTCCACATTCAAGATGACACAAGAAACTCTTCTGTAGTACATGCTGATCATATGGGATCCCAAAGCAGAAGTCACTGAAAAGAGATCATGATGTTTATGTGTAATCTGTTATTTTAAATATATTCGTAATTTAAACCTGGTTCTACCTCCCCACAAGTTTATAAGACATTCTCTAATGTGCTAAGGTGTTCATCATTTTGCATTTTGAAGATACAGGTTATTTACAGACAATATCAAAGTGGGGTCCAGAGACATGTCATTTAAGTGTGGTTGTGGAATCCTCTAGACAAAGAATTTCTGTTCCTTCATCCATTTGAAACAGGGTTGGTCATAAGACTTCTCTTATGTCCCAGGAGAGGGTGTGGGAAAACAGTGAAGCTCTGTGCACGGTGCCAGGAGGATCTATGCCCCCAGGGAGACCTACACATTTTCTGGAGGAATAGAGGACTCTCTGCTCCCAGTGACAGCTAGGACTTTGTTTAGGAAGAGACTGTGCTGCCACAATTTCCCTAAGGTAAACCCCACAAATAAAATGGTTCACAGGGACGGGGAGGGGAGAAAAGGCTAGCAAACAATACAAAACTAAATTAAGGGAGCTTAGAAGGGCTTTCCTAAAAGAATTCCTCTCAACATGTCAAATGGCAAATACACATGTGCTTTTGAGCTTGGGTTCTTTTATATCACAGATTGCTTTGTTACAATGCACCTTGCAACCAATATGTTCTAACCTTACACATTACCGGGATTAAAAAAAAAACATTTTATTATGAAAAATTCCAAGCAAACACTAAAAAAGAGAAAAAAGCCCAAAGAACCCACCATTCCACAGTTTCAGTAACTAACAATCTTGCACAGTTGATTTCATCGATTCCTGCCTCCCCCCTTCTTTGCTGAATATCCCAGATTACTGTTATTTCTCACACATATGCTTCAGCGTACATCTTTAAAAAATAAGGACATTTTCTTACATCACCAAAATGCCATTATCACCCCCAACAACATTAATACTAATTCCTTAACATCATCTAATATTCAGTTTATATTCAGGCTTCCCATATTGTTTCAGAAATGACTTTTTACAATTGATTTACTGAATGGGTATCCTAGCAAGGTTTGCATTTTGTAACTGCTTGTTCTTTTGAGTCTCTTTTAACCTAGAACAGACAAAGCCCCTTCTGTTTTTCTCCCCATGTGCCATTGACGTGATTGCTAGGGAGACTGTCCTGTGGAGCATCCAAACTTTCTGGATTTGGTCATTGTATCCTTATGGTAGTACTTAGCTTGTTTCTCTTACCCATATAAATAAACTAAATGTTAGATTGACTAGATTCAGGATCAATATAATTTTTTGGCAAACATACTTCATAGGTGATGCTCTGTGTATTACATTGCATTACATTCAGAGGTAGGTAATGTCCTCTGGTCCAGCTTTGGGTGAAGCCAAGATCGATCAGTGGGTTCAGGTATACAGTTCCCATCAATGGTTTTAGCATCCATTGATGGCTTTTGTCTGAAGCTCTTATTTCACTAGGGTGTGAGTCTACCATTCCTTCTGGTTGAGAGTTCGAATTCTTCTCTATAATTGAACTTTCTCTCATCCAGTAGGGTTATTTTGTTGTCCTGAAATGTAGTTCACACTACAAAATCAGGATTCTTTCTCTCTGATTTTTTGGGCCATGAGTTGGTACCCTAGTAACTTCCAGAGGTAACCAATAAGCCAGGTGCTCGCTCTCTCTCTTTCTCTCTCTCTCTCCTCCCCCCTCCCTTTCTCATCTAATTAATGACTTGTCAGGAATAACCTCATTAGTTTTTTAAAAACTTTTGTTGAGATATAACTCACATACCGTACAATTCACTCATTTAAAGTGTATAATTACAATATAGTTTTAACTATATTTATAGGATTGTACAACCATCACCATAATCAATTTTAGAACATTTTTTTTTTACCTTCAAGAGAAATTCTATATCCATTTGCAATCACCTCCAACCCTCAGCACTAGGCAACCATCAATCTACTCTCTGTTTCTGTAGATTTTCCTATTCTCATGAATGGAATTATTATGGTAACTCTATGTTTAATCGTTAAAGGAACTGCCAAACTGTTTTCCAAAGTGCCGCACCATTTAACACTCCTACTAGCAATGGATGAAGGTTCCAATTTCTCCATATCCTCATTAACTGTTGTTATTATCTCTCTTTTTTTTAAATATTTTATTGGGGAATTGGGGGAGGGGAACAGCGTTGGGGAATCAGGGAAGGGGAGCAGACAAGTTGCTGTCCTTTTGTTCTTCAGTCTAGTTGTGGAGGATGTCGCTTCACTGGCCCATGTTGGTATGATCATTGTGCTCTTCCCGCGTGAGGCAGATCTGTCGCCAGCACTAGACAGTTGCTCACTGTGGCCCTTGGCAGCTCACGTCGGCTGCCAGCCACTCACGGTAGCTTACGGCAGCCCACTGCAGCCTCACTGTAGCCTACACCATCGCCGGCGACTCACTGCAGCCCAGCTCCAGATGGAGCTATTGTTCACTATCTTAGCTGTAGAGGGCGCAGTGTCACTAGCCTTAACGTGCTCAGAGCTGGCGTCCCAAGCCAACTCTTAACCAGTGTGCCACTTGGCCGGCCCATTATTATCTTTTTGAGTATAGCCATCCTAGTGGATGAGAAGTCGCATCTCAGTTTTGATTTGCCTTGCCCTGATGACTAATGATATTGAGCATCTTTTCATGTACTTATTGGTCTTATCTTCTTTGGAGAAATGTCTTTTCAAATCCTTCATCCATTTTCAAATGTGTCTTTTCATTATTGAGTGATAAGATTTGTCTTACATAGTCCCATATATATATGAATATAGAAGTCCTCTATCCGCTATATAATTTGTAGATATTTTCTCCCATTCTGTGGCCATTAGTCAGGCCTGCCTTCCTTCCTTCCTTCCTTCCTTCCTTCCTTCCTTCCTTCCTTCCTTCCTTCCTTCCTTCCCTCCCTCCCTTCCTCCCCTCCTCTTTCCTTTTTCTCCCCTCCCTTCCTCTCTTCCTGAACTTTTTTTGTTCCTTTTTCTCTCTTTCTGCCCTTGCTAAACTTCCCATGTCTGTCCTTCCCAGGCTTGGAGCTTTTTAGAAGACCCTACAACTGGTTATTCTACAATGCTGCCTAACAGAAATATAACGTGAGGCACACATATACTTTAGAAGTTTCTAGTAGCCACACTAAAAAATATAAAAAGAATCATACAATTAATTTTAATAACATATTATAGTTGACCCAATATATCCAAAACATTATCATTTTAATATGTACTCAATATAAAAATATTGCGATATTTTACTTTATTTTTTCATGCTAAATCTTTGAAATCTGTGTATATTTTACACTAACGGCACATTTCAATTTGGACTCGCCATATTTCTGTGTATATTTTACACTAACGGCACACTTCAATTTGGACTCGCCACGTTTCAAGTGTCCAGTAGGTACATGTGGCTGATGGCTACCATACTGGACTGTGCAGATCCAGAGACTAATTTGTCTAAACCCATGTTGCTGTGGCAGAGATTGATAACTGCCTTCCAACATTCACTACCCAAAATAGAATTTTAGGGTTCTACTTCTTAGTCTCTCTCTGTTCGGTGTGGCCACGGTCAAGTTTCTTTGCTATTTGCACAAGAGGAATGGCCCAGGTTCCATTTGCACATTCTGCTCCAGGCCTGGAATCAGCTGTTGATTCATAGAGTCCTGCGGATTATTTCCCGTTAATGGGAAATGATACTTAGAAAATCACAGTCTCACAATTAGGGGTGCTTGCTCCTTGCTACTGGATTACCATTACTTTTTTGCCTTTTGATTGGGCAGAGTAGGAAATACATAGTTTTAAAAAGAAGCAAATAATGAGTTCATACTAGTATTTTCCATTCAAATTTAAGAGTACAAGGTTTCTAGTTCTTTGATTTTATATGTGTATGTTTTTTCTAATTATGAATCTCTTATTACTTAATAATATTAATGTAATGAATATTCATTTTACCTAATATGTAAATCTATTTTGTATTAGTGTGTATAACAAAGTTTCTCAGTAATAACACCAATACTATCATGACCGTAACAGTTTGGTGAGGAAAATGGTACAGACCTGGCCTAACTAAGACGAAAGTGCTAATTCCGGATTTCTCAGCCTCAGCACTATTGACATTTTGGGTCACACAACTCTTTGTTGGGGAGCAATCCTGTGCATTGTATGATGCTTGAGCAGCATCCCTGGCCTTTCCCCACAAGATGCTAGTAGCACCATCCTCCAGTTGTGACAATGAAAATATGTCCCCTACATTGCCTGCCAGATATTTCCTGGGGGCAAACTCACCCCCAGTTGAGACTCCTGGACTATTAGAAGGAATTGACAGATATTATATAGAGACAACCTATCGTATACTCCACAGCTAAACTCTTGGGTTTTTTCTTTAAGAATGCCATAAAATAACTGAACTTGGTTTCCTTACAAAAAAGGAGATATATAAATTGTCCTGTATCTTGATTTTTTTAAAACAAAATATTCTGGAGATCCTTCCAAATAAATACAGAAAATTCTTCCTTATTCCCTGTATAGCTGCATATGTCCCATTTAGTACATATGGTAATCTATCCCAATCACCTAATGATGGGATATGAGTTATTCCTACTCTCCTGCTATTAAAAACAATGCTGCAATGAGTAACAGTGTGCATATATCACTGTGTATTTGCCAGTGTGATCTTTGGGGTAGGTTCCTGGAAATAGAATTGCTGGGTCAAAGGGTTAATGTACATGAAATTATAGTAGAGATTGCCAAATTTCCCTCCATCAAGGTTGTACATTTTGTATTCCCACTAGTGTCCTGCTTTTAATCCTTAACATTATAGTAAGAACATTTCTAATGTCATTAAATAATCCTTGAAAATTGGATTTTGTAATGGCTGCCCCAAATTCCCACATGTGAACATACCCCAATTTAGTTCATCATTCCTTTCCTGTTGAACATATATGATGCTCCCAACTTTTTTCTATTATAAATAACACTGTAGGGAACTTCCGTGAAG